GTGGTCACGGGAATATTTGCGTTTCACCAGCTTCGCCCTTAAGGTGATGTGAAATCGGTCTCGTTCGCACACTATTTCTTTCGTCAAGCGCTTGAAATATTGTAATGATTGTCGTAGTAGTAATGGTAATACGCACCGAACTCGGAATACAAACCATGCAATACGAATCAAGAATTAGCAATCACGAACTGGATCACGTGAGCACTAGTACTAGCATGCAATATCGCACGTGACCGAGACGCGAAGAAAAGGCCACAGGACTAGTAGTTTGTTTATTGGAAGAAATCAGGGGATTAAATAATATGTACAAAGTAGACTCGTTGGTTATCCGGGATTTTGCCAATCGCGTTCCAGTACTCTTTGCATCGTTCTGCCTCTGTCTTTACCACGCGGTTTCTGATTGGCTGGTACTATCTACTTATGGTTCGAATTCAGAAGCAGTGACACGTACACGCTTTGTTGACGTCATTCGTGAAGTTTGATTGATCGGAGCTGTAACGCGTCGCTCCAGGATACGCGTTATCTCGTAGGCTCGGATGACCACAAATACGCACAGAGGACTCCCTAAACGATGAAAGTAACCTCTTCAAAGAAGTGCTCTACGCAAACGGATATTCAATTGCATTCATCATCATACATTGTAAAGCAACAACAAAATAAAAATACCATGACTGCACGCAAAACGACAACTTAAAAATAAATGAACACGCTAGTCAGTGGACATACACTGCGAGAGACGAATACCTTTCGTATACGCTCTCATCGGTCGCGTACGTATAAAATTAAACACAATAAACCAATAATGGGAATTAAGAAATCTAGTTAAGCTTTATCCTGTGTGTTGTACGTACGTGACCGATGACAGTGTACAAAAGTAATTCCTCTCACAGTCTTTGTCTTCTGCCCTGCCTGTTTAGATTCAATACGGGGTCTACGTGTTTCAGTTATCGTACAAAGACCATTGATTACGTGAATGAATTAATCAGCAAGCGACTGAACTCTGCCGTCAAGAGCGCCTCTATGCCGCAGTTGATCCGGTCATTGTTTTCACTACCATCCGGATATGAACGACATCGGTGAAAGAACCATTATCCCCCTGCCGACAATTCAAATTGAATTTACCGGATCAAGCCTGATACTCGGCTATCTACATAGGCAGGATGTTATCGAATGGTCGAGCATATCTATCTCTGTGCCTTAATTAAGCCGTGGATGACACGTTTGAATCTGCTATGTGATCGAATGGGCAGAAAACACTCGGATCTTTGATTACAACAAAAACATAGTGTCACTCCGGTCCATGTATTTTAGCTCATTCAAAAAACCCTGCACCCTACCGAGACTCTAGCCCTAGATACTCTTAACCCGATCTACGCGAACAACATGAATGGTTGATCATTTCAACTTTACCTTGGTGATTGACCCCTACCCACCTTCGTTTTTCGTGTTGAATGTTGTGGTTAGTGCCTTTATCTTCGTCTCACAGTTCTTATTCTCACTGATCATACAAATGACCTTGGCTGTAGTAGTGTAGTAGTCGAAAGAGGCACCGATTACGAATCCGGAATCACGGTCGCAACTGAAACACGGAGTCGCACTAGCAATAGTTCGCTAGGATCCCCCGTCCCTGAGATGCAGGATGGAAGGCCACAAAGTAGCGGTTCGTTTCTTGAGAGCAATCAATGGAATTAAACAGTGTGTAATTGGAAACTATCATTGGCCAAACGGATATAAACCAATCGCCGTCCCTGTTCTTCTAGTCACACGGCTTCCGTTTGAACTGCATGACTGCTGATTGATCGAGGTCGTTGTTTCACGGCCTGATGTCTAGAAACTGGAACGCGTAGGCGCTTACCGTGAATGGAATCACACAAGAGCTGACCGGCTAACACATTCTGGGCCAAAAGTATTCTCCTGTACATATCATCGAATCCGTTTCAGTTCTTCCAATAAAACAGGTACTTGCTCCGTGGCTCTCTTCCTCTGTGGCTAATGGCCATTGCCATTACTGAACTGCAACTATGCGGAGTACGACAGAGGTATACACTAAGACCAGACGCAGTGTTATACACATACAGCCGACTACCACATAGAGCTCACATCTGACACACACTGAGTGAAGGTTACGTGCAGCACGTCACTCAGTCTCCGTTCGTCCAGTCGCTCTTGTAGTTTGGTGTACTGATTGTAGTAATAGTACTAGTAGCACGCAATAAACGCGGAATACAAATCACGGAGCACGAATCACTGATTAGCATTCACGAACGTCACATAAGCACTGGATCACACTGGCACTTGCACGCAATATCCCACGTAAACGAGACACGAGGAAAAGACCACAGGAGTAGTATTTCGTTTATTGAGGGAAATAATGGGGATTAAATAACATGTACAAAACAAGCTCATTGGTCATCCAGGACTGCCAATCACATTCTACTATCTACTACCTATCTATCAAATTCTATTTCTGGCGTTGTCCGGCTTCTATCTGGCCCACACGGTTTCTGATTGGTCGGCACAATGGACCTATGGTACGTAGTTCAGAACTTGTGACACGTACGCACATTGCTGACATCACCTGGGAGGCTTGATCTATTTTACAGCTGTCCTAAACCTGTAACGTGTCGCTCCGTGGTATGCGTCATCTCGCTGGCCAGGATCACCACAGCTATACAAACAGCACAAACTTTAGCTCAAAATCCATCCATATTCCAAATGAACTCGATTATTAGCATTTATTCCAAATCACACCTAACAGTTTAGACTTGGGTTATATTAATGGTCTGTAGTTATGCTAACCACAGCAATCGTGAAGTGGTAGCATTCAGATTGACCCGCATATCGCGTACTCAAATCCCACCACCGCTATCTAACTGTGGTGATCCCAGCCCGCGAGAAGACGCATACCACAGAGCGACGCGTTACAGTTTAGGGACAACTGCGATCAATCAAACTTCATGGGTGACGTCAACAAAGTGGGTGCGTGCCACAGCTTCTGAACTACATACCACAGATCAATTGTACCAGCCAATCAGAAACCGTGCGATTAAGACAAGATGAACAACGGTAGAAGTACTGGAAAATCCCCGTGGATTGCATCAAGAAGTCAATTTGGCAAACAAGCTCGTTTTCGGTGCCTCATTTACTATTCAAACACAGTACTTTTTTATAGGTCACAAAATCATATAGTTCAAGGAAATAGAAAAGGCGTAAGTAATGTCTGGGTTTGTATGCGTGCGTGTGTGTGGATGAAATGGATAATACAGTCAGGGGTGTATGCAAGTTCAAATCATTCTGCAAATGTCATTAGTACTGTCGAATGAATCAAATGCATTTGACACTCATTTGATAACACGCTTTATGTCACTCTAGCGTTTATGGCTGGCCATGGTAAATCCAGGGCTCTGACCGACTTTTTTCTTTTTGAACGCACAAAGGGGGGTTGTTCAACCGAATCGCGATCGCCTCGGCTGTTGACAGTAAGCGGTGCTTGACCTGCTTCAATCTCACCCCGGTGATCGTGTAGATGGGCCTGACCGCTTCACTCATTCTGACACGATGCTCGGTTTCGACCAAATGAGCCGTGATCGCTGTCCCCCCGGGTTTCGTCAATTCACGACTAAGCCAGCTGGGGTGGTGTTCTCGAATGCGTTCAACCAAGCGGCGGGTGGTAGGACCAATGTAAGTGGTTCCACAGGAACACACGAATTGGTAAATGCAAAATGAGGTCATTTTCACCGGTAACTTGTCCTTCATCTGCAATGAGAGAACTGTTTTGGAAGTGTAAATGATGCGTAAATCAGCGGCATAGTAAGTATTTCTGACAGCAGTCTGGAGGCGCTTTCTTATCATTTCAGGTAACGTGTCACCTTTAAATGGGACGGACACGTAAACAGGTTTTTTCTTAGCCGTCATCTCAGGTTGCACTTTCGTGGTAACCTTCATACATTGTTGAATGATCTTATCCGGATATCCATTTTCTATGAAAGTCTTCTTAATTTTTCTCAGCTTTTCCTCGTATGTATCAGGCGAGCATATTCGCCTTGTCCTGCTTAACATACTTCGAACCAACGGTAGAAGTACTAGAACGCGATTGGCAGAGGCCCGGAGGACCAATGAGCTTGTTTTGTTTACATTATTTAATCCCCCTGATCTCTTCCAATAAACGAGCTAATACTCCCGTGACCTTTCTCCTCGCCTCTCGGTTACGTGGGATATTACGCGCAAGTTCCACTGCGATCCAGTGCTTATGTGACATCCGTGATTGCTAATCGGTGAATTGTATTCCGCGTTCATTATGTACTAATACTGTTAAGAGATACTACTCACTTGTGAGTAGTAGGTAACTTTCCATGATCAAAAATATAACAAAACCATCAAGGGCTAAGTGATATGTTGGGAAGAGTAACTACTGACTTCTCTATACATTATCCTGTGCGTCGGAAAGAATTGTGGTGACACGTTTCTGATTAGGTTTTTGTGTCATACATCCAAAATTACTGACCTCCCATCTGTAATCCTCAATAAACGAAATATCTTCGACCAGCACCGTCTTTTGGAATCATAACATTACTACACTTACCTCCCTCAGTTTTGTGTCCCCAAACAGACTTAGACTGGTGACAGTCCTCCTACAGAAAGTCATATGCACTACTATTTCTTCATGAAAGAAAACAAGAAGTTATCATCTTCACTGAAATAGAATTCGATGAAGTCTGATGTGTATATTTCCTCATACAAAACGCAGAAGCAAGCACCTAAAAACAAGGAACAATACGTCTATCAATCCACCGGAGCAAACAGAAGGCGCCAGGTTATTGTTCACCGAGTGTCAAATCCCAAGGAATTGCATTTCAACAATGATCTTTTTTCACTTTGAGCGGACAATTCGAAGCATTCTACAGTCAGCTGTTCTCAGGCAGATCGTTTTACATAGAAAGCTGTCACAAGTTCACAACAGTGGATTGTTTGAAACAGTGGACGGGTACCGAATACATTACATGCGAGCCGGTCGTGGCGAGCATAATTTGCTCCTGATTCCTGGACCGCTTGGAAGTGCGATTACCGATTATTCCTTGTTTTTGGAAAATCTGAATCAATCCCAGTGAGTAGATCACTTATATTTGATATGTCCTCGTGTGTGTGCACATTCATTCAAATTGAAAAATAACTTGGAAAGCCTCTATTCACTGTCTGTGAAACGTCGTTGTCTATGCTGACAACTACACTTTATTGACAAGACCGCATGACAGTTTGTATTTTTCGGGCCTAACCACAATCAGAAGCTCAAAGGGACCTAGTTGTAATCTCAGCTTCACTATTGAACATATGATCAGTCATTACACAAAATCACCACTGATTACGATGTTGCTTGAATTCATCTCTGTTGTACAAGTGCCCTCA